GGGGGGGGGGGGGGGGGGGGGCTCCCCTCAGGCAGCTAAGGACCTGCCTTGTTGAATTGAAGTGCACGTAATGCGCCCTCTTGAAGGGATACAACCGTCTCCTGACTCGGCTCCCTTTTTTTTTCTCCGCCGTCCCTTCAAATTTCTCACCTGCACGTACTTGAAGGCCTCCTCCGCGCGGGGGTCGAACTTCTCCGCGTTGTCGTGGATCTGGCTGACGTACTCCGAATCCTTGACGCTTGAGTGGATGTCTTGGTTCATCTGGTTCATTACGAACCCTACCATGCCGCTCTGCTTCTCCTTCTCCTCCACCGCGGCAACCTGGATAACCATGGATGGCGCACAAAAAGTTATCGAACAAAAAACAGGGCGAGATTGGGTGATTCGTGGACATCCCTTGGCATTCGCTGACACCATGGACTCTTTTCTGATATGGATTCGTTGGGTAACAACTGTACGAGAAAAATAATACAGTACCCCTGCCTTGACTTGATAAATCCCAAAAAAAGGGACGTGCGAGTGACCGGTGTACAACTTCTTATGCGTTCAGCTAACCGGCTTCAGGGTGCCGTCCTCGTTGAACTTGGCGGCAATGTTCCTCCGCATGTAGGGGAGCACCGTGGGGATCATGGCCAGGCCGATCCCCCCCCCCAGGCCCAGGGCCCAGGCGAACGCGGTGGAGAGGCTGGTGTCGTCCAGGCCGAGACCCTTGGCACCCTTGTACACGATGAAGAAGACTGAAACGGTGGGTGACGGGGGGACAGGGGGTACGAGGTTAGCGACCGTGAGTGTGCTGCAGTCCTGGGTAACAAAAGAACCTTCCTGCTATATGCGACAAGAAAACAGGCATCCTCGACCGGTCGTGGTAGCTGGATTACTCACGCGCAACGACGGTGAGGATGAACAAACGAAAAAAAATACTTTTCCAGAGAGTTTTCGACCAGAATTAGACGCTGCCATTGTCGGCCCTAAAACTCTTCCTGCTGTTAATAAACAGGGCTTTGACAGCGGTCCAGAAAGAGGATGATATCGTGCGCAAAATACGGTACACCGCGCCGGCCCCATAGTAAAGAAGTGAAACTTGTGAATTCGGTCTGTGCCCTCTGAACACCGTCATAATGAAAAAAGCGCTTGTGCCTTCAAATACCACAGCAAGTAGCGTTACTTTTGAAAATCGGCAAAACGATAAAAAGGAAGGAGCTTACCGTTGACGGCGATGGTGGCGGTCACGAGGAATGGGAAGACGTTGATAGCCCTCTTGTGGGCGTCGGGCGACCGGAGAACGAAGGTCCTCATAAACAGGAACAGCGCCACGGCGATCACAGCGGAAAAGAGGGGGGACAGCGCCCACGAGGCCACGATGGCGGACACACCCTGGTAGGGCGGGGGGGAGGGGGCACAGAACGGTCGCGAGGGAGAGAGGACGGTCGGTCGCAGCGAAAGGATAACGTAAATCCGAACGAGGGCGCAGCGTATATCGTCGTGGCGAGGTCGAAATCAATTCTTAACCCATGGGGGGGGGGGCACGCTGGACGTATCGCCCAAGGATACAGGCTGATCACACGTCGGCCATGTCGGCTATGACGAAGACATCCTGCGTACGGGAAAATTGCAGGAAGAAAAGCAAGAAGGCATTCCAATGGCGTTTTGGCACACGGGTTACGCACCTTGAGGTAAGGGAAGAGGTCGGCCTCCTCGTACCAGACCACGCAGTCGGCGCCGCGGTAGGTCATGGCCATCCCGACGATGCCTCCGACGGTGGAGTGGGTGGTGGACACGGGCAGCTCGAAGAAGGAGGCCAGCAAGAGCCAGATTCCAGTCGTGTACACGACGCACATGTTGCCGTACATCAAGATGCCAGGGTTGTCCTCGAAGCACTCGATCTGCCCAAGTTTTGACAAGTGGCGAGAGCTTATGAACAACACCAGTGCAAGACAATGACAGTAGCCTTGGGATGACGAAGACATTTTGGTCAAGCGGATTCGCTTGCGCACTACAATTCCCTTCCAACAACATTGTGGAAAGATCTCATGCCCTACATAGCACGTGACGATCGAAGGTCACGACAGGAAAAGTATACTGGTCTCTTTGATCCTGCTCAACTTGTACTCCAGTGAAATTCGTCATGCACTCAATGATCGCTCAGTTGTTCAACGGTTGTTTTGTGCTTTGAGTTGCAGGAAAAAATTGAAAAAAACCCAGCAAAGCTCCCCGTCTGTGCATTAGAAGGCACGAAGGGACCAAGAGGGCAGACAGCTGTGAGCATATGTACATCCTGGTGAGGGGATAAAAAGTTGTGACGTTGCTGGATCAAAACAAGGGATGATCGTGGCGGGCGCGCCTACAGCATGAAGTGCATGCACACTATTGCTCGAGGGGGTCTTGTTGGGCAAGAAGATTAAAAACATAAAAAAACATTCGTTGGTGTAGGTTAGATTGATTGTCCCAAGAGAAACAACAAACCAAGATGCAGAGAGTATGTTTGTGTGGCGGCTTGGTCGGCACGGGCGCCAACACGTGGCCGGGGATTCTCGCTGGCTCTTGCCGAAGGTCAACAACTGCTGTTGCACGGCGGCGTTAGCCATGCGTGATGGCGGCCTCTCAAGACGTTGTCCGCAAATGCAGGAGAGATCGGAACAAGAGACCGCTAGGTAAGATGCTGCTGCTGTGTGCCACACATCGAGCCCTCTCACATTGTTGGGGCTTTCAGAAGCCCCTCATGATCGCATGCCCATGACAAGACTTGTGTCCACCAAAAGAAGCTGGGCTATGCCCGTACATGTACGCCCCAGACGCATCGCCCACGCCAAGGTGTGCTCAGCAGTTGGTGGTGGTCTTCACAGAGGGGCATAATTATTCTAGTGTTGACACGCCGACGAACAGGAGATTCAAAATCGAATCCATGCCATTTTGAATCTCCTGTTTGCATGAGAGTGACGGCATACTACACCACATCAGCAGTATCGCAGCAGGAGCTTTGTGATCGCATGATGCGAGCGTGCACGGGCACGGAGAGGCAGAGAGAGAGAGAAGGCGCGGCAACGCTTCATGCATCTCAAGGACACACATAGACAACACACCGGACTCTTCATCATTTTTTTTTTTTCTCCGATCATTCGACTCTGTCGTCTGCCCCTCTGGCCCCTATTCTCCACGTCTACTAGCTGGACGACCCAACCGGGGTCACATAGGAGGGAGGAGCTGGACCCCCTCCTGCGGTTCCTGCCTCAAGTATTTTTATCGCGAGAAGGATACAGCAATCTCTTCCTTCGCGACTTTCGAAGTCGATTATGGTTTACTAACAACGAGCTTTGCAGCGCGTGGCTTTCATCCTAGACCAGCATTTATTCAGTCAAGAAAAAAACTGCCGGGACTCGATCCCATGACCTGGCCCTTAGCAGGCTGCGAGGTTACCCACTAGACCACCGGGGTATGTACACACCTGGTGCGAGAACCCTAGAGAAAAGCAGTCAGCCAAGCGCAAAACCAAGAGGGAAAAAAACACAACGCTAAACGAATGCATCCGCAGATGCACCCGAACGTGAAACCACCACATCACACGATTTATCTCACATCGGCGATGCCCTTACGGATGGTCTTGGTGACGTGCGAGCCAAGGAACACAGCGCCCGCGAACTCGAAGATGGCAGCCAGGACGACGGCCTGCTTGATGGTCAGGGCCTTCGCGCCCACGGAGGTGGCGAATGCGTTGGCGACATCGTTGGCTCCGATACCGAAAGCGGCGAAGAAGGCGCCAAAGGATGCTACAATAAGGATCCAGAGCCACTGGTCAGTAGTCTCTGGCGCAAGGATGCGCTCCTCAAAGACACCGTCCATATTGCCTGTAGCCGTGAGTGTTGGTGTCTAGAACTGCTGCTGGGATGAAAGACAAATTGAGGGATGGGGCTGTGGCTGCTGTTGAAGAAAGTTGTGGGGCGTGTGAGGCAGTTGTGGGTAGATGCGTTCCACAACCGCAGCAGGAACCGGCATGGTTTCTTGGGGGCAAAGATTCAGTCCCATTCCGAATTTTGAAAGGTTTTGAATCTTCGGTAGTTGCGATGGAGACGAATCCGCCGAAACATTGCATCACGATCTCGCTCGAATCCGCAACTTCAAATGCTTTGTACGGAATGAAGGAAAGCCCTTCGTTCCCGCGCGGAAAAGGATACCCCGCTACCTCGCTATTGACTTGGTTTACAATAGGCTCACGCCCTGCTTGCTGAAAAGTACCTGTTGTCGCTAGGCGAGATTCACTGCTGCAGCTGGACATCGATTTTTGACAAGATGTGATGTGAGGATGATGATTGCCCGCACTGCAACTGCAACTTGCAGAGCTGCTTCAACGGCCTTTGAACTGCTCTTTCGGGGCACACACACACACCATCTCTCAGCACATGCATATTGCGGTCGGTTGACTTGAACTTTTAGAGAGAGAGGTAAACCCAACGTCTAAATAACAGGTGTTATTGTTTCCTTTAAATAACAGGTGAGTTGGGTCTCAATTAGGGCCGTTTTATTATGTCTCTGGTGTAGCTACCGTAAATGACACAATATATTTATTTAAACACAGGTCCGTTCTGTAGGGTACTGATACTTCTGTAGGGTACTGGGAGAGTTACAGAGCTGTTTGTGAAATTTCTGTAGGGTACTGGGCGAGTACCGAACGTTCTGTGAAATCTCTGTAGGGTACCGGGGTCTCACAGAACTCCTCTGTAAAATATCTGTATGTACTGGGATCTCACAGAACTCCTCTGTAAAATCTCTGTATTTACTGGGGTCTCACAGAACTTTTCGGTAGGGTACTGGGAGAATACAGAACGTTCTGTGAAATATCTATAGAGTACTGGGCGCGTACCGAACGTTCTGTGAAATCTCGGTAGGGTACTGGGAGAATACAGAACGTTCTGTGAAATATCTATAGAGTACTGGGCGCGTACCGAACGTTCTGTGAAATCTCTGTAGGGTACTGGGAGAGTACCGAACTTTCTGTAAAATATCGGTAGATACTGGGGAGAGTACCGAACTATCTGTGAAATCTCTGTAGGGTACTTAGGTCTCACAGAACTCCTCTGTATGGTACACAAACAACGTACCTACAGACGAACCCGGTACTTACCCCGATAGTAGCAGCGTCACAGGACATCACGTCCTGCAGCACCGCACAAAAGGACGTCTGCACCGCATGAAACACAATACTGATATTATACTCCGAGATCAACGTGGCTCCGTGCATTCTGATTCTACCCCACCCTACAGCGGCGCCACCATTGGTCTTCCTCATCAACTATAATTAATGAAGCTGACACGAAAAAAAAAAACAGTTCGACTACACCTGACCTGCGGTTGCCTTGGCGCCTCCTCCACTCAGAGGTACAGCAATCAAAACCGCGAAGAACGACAACAACAGAATCAACAATCAACCGCCGTAGCTACGCAGCACTAAGCCTCCGTTGTTGTCANATCCCTGCAGCACGTACGCGTGCCCAAAACTGAACTACACGTCCGTCTCACCGTTCGACTAGAGGCACGCTGGCGACTTACTGCTACAGACATGTTCTTGCGTACACTTTCACTTTTCGTGCACACTTTCACTTTTCGTGCACACTTTCACTTTTCGTGCAAAAGCGGCTCAAAAATCATCTTTATGCGGCATTTCAACAATAATCTGAAGTGTTGGGATCATTCACGTGGTTCACAGCAGCACCGGTATGACGCAAATCGAAGACAAAGAATAGGAACCCACGCAAACCGAAAGAGACACTCACAACACAGAGCATTCGATGCCAACAATACATNCTGTTTGTGAAATCTCTGTAGGGTACTGGGCGAGTACCGAACGTTCTGTGAAATCTCTGTAGGGTACTGGGGTCTCACAGAACTCCTCTGTAAAATCTCTGTATGTGCTGGGGTCTCCCAGAACTCCTCTGTAAATTCTCTGTATGTACTGGGGTCTCACAGAACTTTTCGGTAGGGTACTGGGAGAATACAGAACGTTCTGTGAAATCTCTGTAGGGTACTGGGCGAGTACGGAACGTTCTGTGAAATCTCTGTAGGGTACTGGGAGAGTACCAAACTTTCTGTAAAATCTCGGTAGATACTGGGGAGAGTACCGAACTATCTGTGAAATCTCTGTAGGGTACTTAGGTCTCACAGAACTCCTCTGTATGGTACACAAACAACGTACCTACAGACGAACCCGGTACTTACCCCGATAGTAGCAGCGTCACAGGACATCACGTCCTGCACCGCACAAAAGGACGTCTGCACCGCATGAAACACAATACTGATATTATACTCCGAGATCAACGTGGCTCCGTGCATTCTGATTCTACCCCACCCTACAGCGGCGCCACCATTGGTCTTCCTCATCAACTATAATTAATGAAGCTGACACGACAAAAAAAAACAGTTCGTCTACACCTGACCTGCGGTTGCCTTGGCGCCTCCTCCACTCAGAGGTACAGCAATCAAAACCGCGAAGAACGACAACAACAGAATCAACAATCAACCGCCGTAGCTACGCAGCACTAAGCCTCCGTTGTTGTCATTTGGAGCGAAAACGCAGTGCACCAAAGCAAAACACAAAACACGTACG